CACGGCGCGCCTCTCCCGGCCGGGGCAACGGCTACGTGGTTGAGCTGCTCCCAGCGCTGCTCATGCTGCGTGTCCTGGGAGACATGTTCAGGCAACGGATGTTAAAGTTTGAAACCTGCGTGTGGGTTTCTTTTAAAAACCTGTGTGATCCGTTCCCTCACAAAACATCAGTCCGTCTTCAGCAGGGGGCTCTAACTGCTAAATCCCCTGTGGTGGGGTGAGCAGTGGCCTCCCACCCTGGCACAGGTGGAGCCCAGAGATGCTTGTCTCCCGCCTGAAGCAAACCTCCGCCGGGGCGAGGTCTTGGGGCTGGGGAACGTGGAAATGAGGGGCTGCTTGGAGGCAGGATGGTGGCCGTGGAGAAGACCACCGCCATGAACGCAAAGTAGCAGTGGGGCCACGGTGGCAGCAGCTCTTGGCGTGGGTGGGTGAGGTGGCACCGGTGGAGAAGCGCAGCTCTGCTCCAGTCAAGTGACTTTGGCCTGGCACTCAGTGCGTTGGGCATGTTGGCATGCAGCAGTGATTAGCATATATTAATGAGCGATTATCATCTGGTAATAATCATTCCTATGCCAGTGACACTTGGATTTGCAGTCCCCGACCTATGCGTTGAGCCTGAGTTAATAACAGTAATTGATGGCACATATATACAGCGCTCTGAGGGTTGTCCTCTCCCGGGACGTGCTTGCAGCCGGAGCAGGGGGAGGCTCAGGAGAGCAAGCGGCCCTGCCGGCCGCCAGCCGCGGCAGGCTGCTGCCGGCAGAGGGCCGCACTCAATTAAATATTAGTGCTCATCAGCGCCCAGGAGGAGGGAGACTCGTGTAGAAATTACTCCTGGCATTTGTTAAAAATTTTTCATCTGCTTCAGACAAACTTTCATTTGTGCCCTGTGACTTCCAAAAAGTAGGTGCAGCCCAATGGAGCAAGCACGCCAGCCCTTCCCAAGTTTGCCGCAGAGGGGCTAGGAAGGGGCAGCACCTGCTAACAGGTTTTCAGGCCCCCATGCTCATGTCGGGGACAGAGAGCTTTGAAAGCTGTTGCCGAAGGGTGGGAGCACAAGGGGAACCACCTCAGTGCAGTCACGCTGTTACTGCTCTGCACACGGGAGCACTGCCCTATTGGGGTGGCACATGTGGCATGTGCTCAGACACAGGCAGTGTGGGCAGTGTGGACCCCAAATACTCACGCTTGCCTCACTTTCTTAGGGAGGTGGGTCCAAGCGTGCAAACTACAGCTAAAAGTCCTGGAACCAAGTTCCCACCAAGGGTGCTTGGTCCAATGCTGACGGAGGTGCCGATGTATGCTCCACTGCCTCATCTTGCTCCTACTGCAGTTGCTGCACGTGACCAGACTGCTCATATGCCACCTTCAGAGAGTAACTGAACGTGCTCCAGCCTTGAGCGGCAGGAGGGGGGATG